ACAAAACTATTCTTTTCTATTCACAAGGTACTTAAAACCTTACTACCTACCTTTAAAATGTAGGCGAAGTGAGGATGGTAATCCCTTGTATAATGTATATTATATTATCTCGTAATCTTTTGAATATGCTAAATGGGAGGTTTTGTGGGTTATTATTAACACATTTTATTTATCGTAATTGGTATACTTTCTCTAAACATAATATCATTACATCCATAATTTTGTTTGACATTCTGTCTTGACCCTTAGACGAGATGTGTGTGATGAACAGGGAAATTATATTTTATGATTATTTATTTTTATTGATGTGAAACCATTGACTCTTATTTGTAATTCAGCAAAAGACTATCGAGGAATGCAGAATGACCTGTTGTAATAAATTTGTTGTGAGGAGAAATATAGTGTCTAACAAAAAATCTTCTGTGTAGATTAAACGTTTCTATTAATATGAAAAGCGTACCATAAAACTGGATTTATGTATTGTAGTTATAACATTTACTGATGATTTAATACAAACGAATATTTAATTTTTGTAGTGTTAAGATTTACTTATCAAGACTAATGTCGTTCAAATGCGACACGATTAGCACAAAGGGAAAACGATCAACTATATCATGATTCAGTAAAGGTACCAATTACTGTGAGTCAGTTGAACATGTTTGTAAAGATGAAAGTGACTTAATAACAACGAAACTTAAACCAATTATATTGATATTAACATTTTATTCGGGTATTTTGTTCATGTTTATTATACGTGATTGATATCTTTGCTAATAATGAACCAATTTTTATGTTTTTTTTTTTATAATTCTTAGGTTGTAACTACACTATGACTCCATATTATATATGTCATGAAAAATCTCTACCACTAAGGGACAACCGTCAATCACTTTTAAAGTAAAAATATATTTCATGTAAAAAATATTTTATCTAAATTATATTGAAAGATAAAACATATAGTTTAAGTTGACTAAAGATATTTCTGTGATACAATTGGTGTTTTATTAATGTATTCAGCTCTTTTTAACGTCCCACTGCTGGACCTGTCCTCCCTTCAGTAAGAGGGGAATCAGGCCATAGTCAACCACGCAGACCAAGTGCGAGTTGGCGGACTTCACATGTAGTTTGAAAACTTGCTAAGTACTCTTAGAAATGCAGGTTATTAATGTAAAATAATATTATGTTTATCTAATTTACTAGAAATATTTTTAGATCTATGATTATTAACATATACTATAATAGCGACTCACCCACGCTCCGTTCGGGTTCGTCCCTACTTATCTTTCAACGTTTAGTATAGAATTCTCAGAGATGAGATATTTTCCCGCAGTAAAAAGCATCCTATATGTTGACCCGGATAACCAGCTATCATCATACCAAATTTCATCAATATCCCTCTAGTGTTTTTTCCGTGATGCAGTAACAGACAGACAGACAGACAAAAATTCTAAAAACTATAGATTCGGCCTCTGTATCTAAAATATTGTCTATATATATATATGTCTATTTCAATAAGATTTTCCAAAAAATATTTAATGTACAGATTCGGCTTAGTTAGAATTTTATTATATGTATAAACTAGTAGTGACGAATGATCAATACGAAGTACTGATCAGACCTCAGGCGTGGTCAATTATTCTGCGTTAATATAAGTTGAATAGGTCGTGGATTTCCTTTCACTTTGAGCACTATGAGTTTGAAGAATATATCAAGCAACGATACGGCACTACGGGTCACCACAGTACAATGAAATCAACGTAAGATAAAACCGCAAATAATTGCATTATGCGTACGTTTACACGCAGATATGCGGAAACCATAATGCGCTGTTATCGCAAAAACATATTTATATTGCTATTTTTATAATTATTGAATATTATTTAAAGATGATTAATGGCGATACATTTAAAGTAATTTCAAATGTAGGTAAAAAAATATCAGAAATTGTAATTATTTATCTAACAAAAGTAGATTATGGCGGCGTTAAGAGATAATATAGTTAATAAATATGAATTTACTGATAATATGTAAAACGAATCGGTGGATGTGCCTAATTAATTGGAATGTTTAAAACAACGGAGAAAAGGGATAAGTTCAGTAGTGACCAGAAATCTCTTGTTTTCTGGTAAATAAAGAAAGTTTTTCACCGGTAACCGCTGATGAAGGAAGGCGCCAACAGCGGGGTCAATGACTCAATGCTCTAGGTACACTGTTACTTTCAAAGGTCGAGACGTTCAGGGCATTCAAAGTTTAATAAATATCTTAAAGTAGTGTAGTAGTGTAGTGATACATAGTGTTATTTTATAAATATACATTAAACATAGCAAGTTCCAAAGATGCAATCAATCGTTATCTATACATATAATAAAATTCTAATTAAGTGAAATCTGTACATTAAATATTTTTTGGGAAATCTAATTGAAATAGACATTATTATCGAAACAGAGTCCGAATCTATAGTTTTTAGAATTTTTATCTTGTCTGTCTTTCTGTCTGTCTGTCTTTTACCGCATCACGAGAAAACCACTGGACAGATTTTGATGAAATTTGGTATGATGATAGCTGGTTATCCGGGTCAACATATAGAATACTTTTTACCACGGGAAAATATCTTATTTCTGAGAAAAAATACAAAAACTGCATTGTAAGAGTATACTAATATGTAAAACCTAAGAATTAGATTTTTGGTCATCTGAACGCAGGCGGAGCCGCGGGCAATGCTAGTCTTTATATAATTTGTGTAATGGTGCTTGCAAATTTTTAGAACAAAGTCCGTTACTGAGACTTGAAACGACATCTCACACGACATAAATCCATCACCAAAAGCTAGGACTGACTCAAACAAGTTCTATACAAACTGAACTGGTTATATTTCAGTTTACGCACGTATATATATATATATATATATATATATATATATATATATATATATATATAATATGTTACAACAGCCAAGAATGAGAAAAATAAAATGTATGGGTCGTTTCATGTATTACTTAAGCTCACTGATGTTACTGTGCTCGATCACTTTACGTAGATATCTTACGTGAATACGTAAATTTTAACAAAATAATAGTGCAAGTTATAACGTTCATTTTTTATATCTACATACTCTTTAAAATTTATTTGAGTTAAATATAATATACTCTCAATTCTCATGGGTTGATTCTCATCTGCGAGGTTTTATATATTTATATATTTTTAAATGTATTAATAATTTAAACATTTATTTCAATATTTTTATATAGCATTTAATCATTTACGTAAGAGATTATATTGTTCGGGGTAGAGGTTAAGCGGATTCAAATTTCAGGTCTCACGCCTCTGGTATTTTCATTTGCGAATCATTTCCAATATAATTACCACTTCCTAATAGGGCGAAGGAAAACATCGTGAGAAATCTGCATGTTAAATAAAACCTACTTATTTTTAAAATCACATGTGAGACTACACAATGCTAAATAAATTGGCCAGAGTGGTGGGCCATTGCTTGTTTCCCCTTATAGGGGAGTCCCGTTCTCAGCAATGCGACGTTAAAAGGGCTGAATTATGTTGTCTATCCAAACGAATATAATAAATGTGAAAGTGTGTTTGTTTGTCTTTCTTTCACGTCGAAACGGCTTGGCGGATTGGCGTGATTTGTGTGGAGATGGTTGTAGGGCTGGAGAGTGAAATAGGCGTATTTTACCGGAGATTATCTCTTTCCCGCTGGAAAACATATAATACAATCCAAAAAAATATTTATGATCAGAATTACTTAAAAGTAGGTATAAATTCTCTTCAATACAATTAATTAAATATGTATTTTAGCATTTTTTGAAATTCATCCCATAAAGGGGTAAAATAGCGGATGAAAGTTTGTATGAAACCTACCAATTTAGTTTTTTTTTGTAGTTTTAGCGCGAGCGAAGTAGCGGGTTCTACTAGTAGGTATATAATCCACGTAAAAAGATCGTAATCTACACAGATAAATAAAATTGAAATGTTTGTTTGTAATGTCAAATAGCTTTTCACTAAATGCTTAAGAGATTATATAAGTACCTACTTATAAGAAAAACACAACTTTTAAAATTTTTGTCTGTCTCTTTGTTTGTCTGTATGTTTCTTCCGGCTAATCTCCGATAAGGCTGAACCGATTTTAATGCGACTTTCACCGGCAGATAGCTGATGTTATAAAGTGTAACTTGGGCTACTTTTACTTTAGAAAAAAATAGTTCCGCTCAAAAAAATTAAAACGTACCTAGGGACGCACCCGAGCGAAGCGAGGGTAAGTCGCTAGTGGCTAATAAACTTAACTTATACTACTTATGTAACTTTTTTTTATTTTTATCGATCATTGACAATAAACATCAATACACTGACCGGGCTAAAATTATGACAGATACCTCTAAAAAAGGAAATTCAATCCTTATAGGATTAAGAAAGGGCGGCAAAGATTGTATTGGAATTAGTATTTATTGAATGATAAATTCCGAGAAAAGTCTGGACAAGACGGTAGGAGTTAATGCTCTTTGTATATCAAGAAAAACCATAGCCTATACTTAACTCAGTTAAGCTATAGTTACATGTTGAGCCTCCCGTTTTAAGTAGTCCTTTATAAAGCAAAATAAATGTCTGTATGAGGCTTGTAGACCCTGTATTAACTTAAAAAATTGTTTTCAAAATAAATAATATTTAATAACTGAAGTAGATCCAGCTACGTGTACGATATTATCTATGCATTAGCTTGATAATTTCACCTTGCAAAATATATTCTCGAGGTTTTTACGAGTTTTTGTGTTTACGTAAATTTAGAGTAATGTATGGAACTTTATGCCATTTGTTTGATAAATTATTATGGATTCTTCTAATTTTAGAGTTAATATTTTAAGTGGCCTTTTACAAGTTTTTTTTTTAATGAAAAAATTGGTCAATGAAGATCAATTTTAGGTTTGACAAGAATACCAAGTAATGAACTAAATAATTATTGCTGACAAAAATATGATGCCATTTTAACTTACAGCTCCTCTCGTTGCCGTTGTGACAACACCATTTTCATTGTGGTCGGCTTGTTCTTAAGGCGGCGAGCCCTGGAGGTTCACTGCACTTGAGTCTTACTAATTCACGCGGGCGACGGCAAGATCGCCGTTGCCATTATCACACCTAAGAACAATAATCATAATAATTAACAAGAGACAAAGGTACATAAGGGATCATTAACATAATATGTCAACTATTTTAAAATTCAAAACTATCATCAGTTAAAAATAATGTTTTATCTGCAGGTGCTGAGCAAGGTTACTGCTGCCCATATTTAGAAATAAGCACATGTTTTTTGAACTTTAAAATAGCTTTTAATTATAGAATTCTTTCCTTTTTTAGGGAGACTCTGTGTTTATGTTCATCTCTTTTTGTATTATATTCATTAATTAACTTTTATTGTGGTCCTATTTATTAATTAAAGAACTACACCTATTGTTCGATTTACGCGAATATTTGGCATTTTAAATAAAACTTTAAAACTAAATATATCTTAAGCTTTGAAAAAGGTTTTATTTAAAAATACCTATCTTATATATAAAATTACCATGTCACAATGTTTGTTACCGTACTCCTCCGAAACGGCTTTACCGATTTTTACCAAATTTTATATGCGTATTCAGTAGGTCTGAGAATCGGCTACTATCTATTTTCCATACCCCTAAGTGATAAGGGTGGTCCACCCCAAAAAAAAATGTTATGATTCGGCATTAAAAAATACATACAAACCTAAATTTTCACTAGGGACGAACCCGAGCGGAGCGAGGGTGAGTCGCTAGTATTTTATAAAATATATCAGGTTGTCTTAAGGTATCAAATAATTATTTGTAGAACAATAACAAAACCCATTTTTTTGTAATTGTCTTTAACACTTTAAACAAATGTGTTAGTAATCTGTCCTAACTGAACTTGAGAATGCTTGAATAGAACTTTGTTGGATTTGAATTATGTAATTCAAAATAAATAGGAAAAGAACCACACAGGCTACTTTTTATTACAGAAAACAATTTTCTTTCAATTAAGTCTTTTCGTCAAATTAACTTTTACATGACTTTCACCAGTACATTTAGTAGGTTTATTGAAAGCACAAACAGACTTTTTAATTTTATTCTTAAGTATAGGGGCTTTTTTATAGTGTCAAAATATGCATATATAGTATTTGAAAAATAAAAGTTGTGCAAATAAGCTAAAGGTTTCAATAGGTTTCAATATTGTTAGTTCTTATTTTTATAGTGCAAATAAAAGATTTTTCTGGCTTCAAAACAAAACTATTTATTTTAACCAGCTTTACAAATTGTAAAAAGAGAAAACAATTTTAGAAGAATGTTTTGGTTACTGTTGTAAAATTAATGTTACTAGTTTTCAAATGGACTTAAATAAAAGTATGTATTATGTATTACAAACTGATATTTAATTATTTCTAAGTGTCATCACAGTGTCCAGCATAATTTTGAGTGTCTATAAGACACACAGTTTATATAATATTATATGTGCAATAAAATGTTCTTAAAAAATTACAATTAAGCAGCAATTGAAATCATATGAGTTTACTTGTATTGTGTCCACTTGAATATACATAAACAAAATACTTATAACATAGCTATTCTCACATATATCATTTCAGTTTTAATATTCTAATGTCATGTTATTAAAATGAACATTACATACATACAATCCAAAAAGATATTTATGCTAGCATAGTATTAAACGTACAGGGTTCTTACATAAAAAAATTAGTTTTATATTGTTTATTTCATGAATCTATAATATTACATAAAGTGTTAAGAAGTACATAATTTTTAATTGTAAAATACTGAAATTAAATTTAATATTATCATAATTTCAGCATGTGATATAATTTTGTACAAAAGTTACGTACCTTTATATACTCTAAACCTAGATAGTTGAATTATCACCTTTAAAAATAAAGAGAACCAAATGCAAAAGTTATTTTCTATAAGTAGCCTTCCAATACTTAACGATTTTATGTTTAGAGATAGCTCACATTGTGAAAATAGTGTCGATTATTTTTTCAATTTATTGTATCATTTTCCGCGAAATAATAAAATGGAATAATTGTACCTATGACCATCAGTTCGAAATGACTCAGTTAAAACGTCAAAAACCATTCTGTCAATTTGCCACATCAACGTATAAAAGAATTTGCACAAATTACATCAACCTAATACAGACAAACGTGTACCTTATTAATCTTGTAGTTAATTCTGTAGGTTTTATGAAATTTGCCAAATAGCGGAACGGCCATATTGAACAGGCAGGTACTGAAACTGTAGATACAATTCAAGAGAACTATGATTTAAATTGCCAATAACGTTATTTAAAGCATACTTACAAAACGAACAAACACTTGAATTGCACTTTCTTTTAAAAATTTGCACACAATAAAAAAACACAGCACACACAAGACCCGAGGCAGAAAACCGTTTCGTTGCAATGGCTCAAATTCACTCAATTCAATACACTACTACAATGGCGAGTTTGAGAGATTCGATTTTTCTTTTTTCATTTGAAATTTAACAGCGCCATCTATTTACGGTTTTCTTAAAATTAATTGTTTAACTGGCAACACTAAATATAGAAAGAGACAAGAAGACTATTTTTATAAAAGATAAAATAAGATAGCGACCACAGATGTACGTTTCGTACTAATTTAATTTTAATAATAGAAATTAACTTTTATTATAAATAAAAGTACATTTTAGAATTAAATTAATGCAGGAAACTTATAATTCAGATATTTTTTATTTATTGTACTATTAGACAATAACTTTTAAAATGAAATATGTAGTACCCACACACTCTCTACTTAAAGTAGTGAAGTTATCGCGAAATGAAGCTGTTTTTGATTTTATTAATTATATATAGCATTAAAGTCATATTTTGCGACTTGTTAATGAACGTTGAGCTATATGTTTAGCGATAAACCCTTAAATTCAAATGCAGTAAAAAATGCTGAATAGTTACGTAAATACTTATTTTGTTAAAAAGAACAATAAACCTCTTTTATTAAATAAAGTTTTTTATTTTTTATAACCTTTTTTATAAACTATTTTTAATACATAACTTAATTTATAGATACCATGTTTCATTTTTTATTATTGTTTGGAACACCAGACGAAATCTTCATAATTTCGTTTAGTCTGTTTTTTCATCCATACCAAATTGTACTAGAGAGCTAAAATTGGAAAGATACCTTTGAGTTTTCAAAATTTTTTGTATACACCATTTTTTTTCATTTAGAGAGAGGACATGAAATTATGTATTTTACTTAATTATTACAATGGATTTTATAAGTGGACTTAAAATAAATGTTGATTAAAATATAGAAAAAATAAAAGAACTTTTTAATGACGTATAAATAAATAAAATTCATTTTTAAAATTTATAAGATACTAGCGACTCACCTTCGATCTGAGCCCTTAGCTCGTCCCTAGTTACGTTTTATAGTTTAGACTTTCGTATAGATTTCTTAGAGATGAAAAATTTTTCCGCATCAGAAGATATCCTATATGTAGACCCGGACTACCAGCTATCATCATACCAAATTTCATCAAAATCTGTCAAGTGGTTTTCTCGTAATGCGTTCCCAGATAGACAGACAGACAGACAAAATTTCTAAAAACTATAGATTTGACCTCGATAATAATCACTATATCCACAAGATTTTCTAAAAAATATTCAATGTACAGATTCAACTCAGACTTTTATTATATGTATTGATAAATACAAACGAAAGTGTGTATCCCTCTGTTTATAGAAGTCCTAACTAAAAAAATTATTTCTTTTTTCAATTTAATCACAATTAAATAATAAAAAAAGTATAGAAATATTTTTTTGATTTGTAATATTATTTAAAATACATATGTCTACGAATTTAAATTTTTCACTAAAAACAAATGAACTATGAACGATAGAGACGGTAGGTACCCAACTCAACAAAACAAATGTCCGATTCGTGCGCCCATTTCGTAAGTTCTTCGAACGATAATTTCGATCAACGCCCTTAAAAATATTATATTGTTATACCTGGGCGTAGAACAATTGCTTTTTACTAGTAGTCTATAAATAGTATAATACAGTTTGAAGATCTTGTACATCTTCCAGAATTTCATGGTTTCCTTATACCTAAAGAACCAGTAGGCGAAAGGAATCAAGTTTCATTTTCTATTTTATAAGTGTTTTCATGAGTGTTAATTTACTGAAGATAAATAGTGCAAATTTGGTAACCTTACGCCATTTGTGATAATATCTTTTTCAAGATGATCAGAAATAAAGTTTACCTTTCACCATAAAACCAATGTTATGTTTGTTTTTATATTTGTGGAACTCGTCATTTAATAAACGAGGCACGGATGCTTACTCTGAGGAGCAAGGTGTGCGATGGTGATAGCAAAGAGCAAAAAAGTTAAGCCTCTAATGAACAACACAATAAAAAATATGGATTACAACTGGACACCTGGTCCAGAACCTCCCAATAATCAAGATGTGGGCGTACCAAAAGCAATCTTCATTCCACATTCAAATTCCTTGCCATTTGATGAAAGACGCGTCACATTGGAACAACCAGTCAAGGTAATAAACCAAATGTCAATTATGGATTTAAAAAACTTTTCCTTAATTAAAGCCTAGTAAGTTAGATATATGTTGTATTTGAATGACGATATTAGGGTCTCATCTGTCTTTTTGATAAACTGTTTTTGTCAATTCTTAGAAAATACTTATTACTTCAACCCATTCTTCACTACATTTTTATGTATTGCCTTTGTAATAAAGAAATGTCAAATGGTTATAAAATTTGTTTGGGTATGAACAACAAAAAAAAAGAAATGATTATATATATTGTGAATTTAATAACTTTTTTTAGAAAAGTAGTAAATATAAAGGGAATAAAATGTTCAAGCATTATTCAATATAACTGTAATTGACTACATATTTGGCTTGGTAATTAATTAATGCGCTATATGATTGTGCTAAAATTATAATTGGCTTATGTAAAAAAATACTGTTTAATTTTTCATTACTTTTTTCACAAAAGTTCTCAATCATTCACAAGTTATTTAAATGGTGAAAATATAGGATTTTTATTCATTGACATTGTATGATCTGTTAATATATTTGTGTTTCATCTTTGTTTTGTAGCATAGATTTTCAAATGAAGTGAAACTTTTAAGGAGAATATTATCAAATTTTATGGTATCTTGAAGTGTGTTCAATATGTTGGATAAGATTATCTCTGTTTACTTAAAAAAACTATTGTTATCTTTTATTTGATCGAACTCCTATATTTTGCATGAATAATTGTAATACTTTTATATTCAATGAATATAAATGTACAAGAATTATTTGAACTCTCATAAGGAAGTTTAACATCACCAATATATTTTCAAGTTCTTGTATTTATCATTTATGAATTATCATAATATATAAAGTTCATAATATTCATCTAATATCCAGCGAAAACCACTTTATGTACTTGGGATAAATAAAAATATCTTACTCTCTAAATTTTGTCAATGTGGCAGACAAATGGTAACATGATTGCTTGAAAAATGCAAGTGAAATGGGTAAAACCTGGGTCTCATTATTGCTTGGGATTTTATGTCTGAATGATTTTCTGTGCAATTACCACTGGTTCATATAGTAAAGAAAAACTTTGTGATACCTTATGAATTTTTGAAGCATTATATATCATAAAATTTATATATCATTATATTTCATAAAATATGTCTTCTTCTCATGTTATATAGTCAAGTTTGAAATAAGATACTTTTACATTTGTAATTCATTACTAATTCAAACCAATTTATAAAAGACCATTTAAAAAATGTATATTATGTTTTGTTAATATAACTCTTACAATGATAATATTAGATAGATTATTTGTTAATAAATAATATTTATATTTTATAACTTACCCGACAAACATACCTCATAGATATGTAATTTCAAATATGGTAAATTGTTATTTGTCTAGCTGAGAGTTTATTTAACAGTAATAACTTTAGATTTTACTCAACTATATTTTGTGGAAAGTGGGTGTGGACTGAATTTTTTTTATTTACCTATTCTATGCTCATATATATTTTATTTAGTTCCTATTCCACATGAATAAAGATGATTATAATTTGACATTGTTATACTATTGAGAAAACAAAATATTGATAATATTGTATAAACTAAAAGAAATAGTTTTCAGTAACTCAATAGTTAATAATACTTTTTTTAGTTAGAACTTACAGTTGCATTAGTGTCTGTTACATATATTAACTATTTTAATAGAGTTATATTCTTCATATGCAATCTAGAATATCAACACGTATTCATCCTATTATAAAAACGAGTGCAAATTCGAACTTAGTTAAAATTTCTGATCGCGTCTTATGTATCTGTAAGGTACTTAGTATTGCCGTCAGGCGCGTGTGTGTGGACTTAGTCAGCGTGACCTGTGGTACTCGAGACGGGACAATTGTATATTGGCAATTAAATTTAATGAGATTAAATTGTGCTATTTCTAGCTACCCATCTGGTATGCTCTCGTAACGGAAGCTGATTCTTATCAGGTTTATATTATGGGTACAGGAAGTTTCTTGTATATTATTATGAAATATTGCTGAGGATTCATTGAAGATAAAAGTTCATTCGCGTATGTTCATCATGGCCTATCCAATTTTGAAATAATAACAAGTTTTAATGAAGATGTGTAAACGTAATTTTCATAAATATGCAAACGGCCTTGGTTGTAATTATAGTACATACTTCATTTATATTTTTGCAATACAAAGGTCAAATATATAATTGTATATAAAATTCAAATGTTATTTTTTTAATAAAAATATATTCGTTAAAATATTTTTATTTGTGGTTGAACAATGTTACAGATTGGAAGAAACGTATACCGAGCAACACCGTCAACAACGAACACAATATTTGAATGCAGAGTGCTCTCGCGACATCATGCCACCCTTTACTATGAAAAGGGACACTTTTACCTTGTAGTAAGTAATATATACTTAATATATACTAAAAAATTCTTGTTCTGATTTAAATCTCTAACAATAAAGGTGTTTTGTAGACGGCAAACGTGACTGCAAACGGCAATTTGACGTCTATTATTTTATCTTTTTAAAGAAAAACTTGTAGAGAGAAGGGCTGTTTTAACATGCTTAATAAAAACTATATTTATTATTTAATAATTTTATATCAAAAAGAAATAAAAAATGCAAATGATTATTTATGAAATCAAAATTTTTGAAATCGTTTCATGGGCGTTATGATGATGGCAAAGTAGTTAACTCTGCTTACGCCTACGGTAGATTTCTATCAAGAGCTCTACAACCTAATTTCGCAATCTATTTTACGATATACCTAATTTGCATTTTGTACCACATTCTTATTAATCTACAATATCTCTATACAAGATGGTTAAATGACATATCTATTCACATAATTCTGTACATAACAGGATATACTAAGTTATTCATATATATTGTGTGACGTCTCTATCGTATATAAAATGAAAGAACCTTAAAGGAAAATGCATACATATAATAGCTTTATTCATGATATCATGATTTTCACGTTTTCATTTCTTTGAGTGGGATCCTAATTCTTTTTCAAAAAAATTATTTTACTTTTGTAGTCTTAGTACTTACTCCTTATAACACTGCTGTCTGCTAGTGAAAGTCCCGCCAAAATCAGTCCAGCTGTTTCGGAGATTAGCCAAAACAAACAGACAAAAAAATAAAAATTGTGTTATTTTAAGTACTATAAAGTTTTATATGCATTTAGCAGACAGACAAAAAAATTAAAATTTGGGTTTTTCTTATATGTACTTTATATAATTTCATATGTATTTCGTACGAAACTCTTATTTTGACATTACAAACAGACAATTCAATTTTATTTATCTGTATAAATATCGATCGAAGAGCAGCAAAAGCAAACAATAAAATAGCCAACCTGATATTTTAAGGATTTATTACTATTCTAACTCTTAATGTGTGTTGCTTTAAGGCTTTTAAGTTAGCAAGTAGTAATGTCCTCCAATCGAATTCGGTTACAGCGGCCAATCTCACTGAGAGCAACCAATTGTGAGGGCCATAGGATATTGCACAAATGTATTGACACAAGTGCATTTTCTGTCCTTTTAACTCTCAGATTCCGGCGGGACCACAATTTGATACGCTTAATAAGCGATAAGGTACAGGACCGATAGCTTAACTTGTTTTCCAAGGCATGATAATGTAAACACCACCAACTCCAGATTGCTACTAAGTATTTCGTGATAAAAAAATCTTCTTCTATTTAAGCCCGACCCGGGTCTCGAATTCATCATCTACGGCTGCAGATTGAGAGTATTTACAGTCGTAGATGTTGGTCACTAGATTAACAAGGCAGTTAGTCGGTCAGATAACAGATACCAAAGATATATAGAAACTTTTTGTTAATTTAGAGTATGTCTGGTCTCACTATTTTTCTACAATATATCAGAGACCATTTAAACTAAAATAATGAATAATATATTAAAACACGCAATAAAATATATAGCCTGTGTCGTCTACGACCCAAATACTAAATACTCTAAAATAAAAACTCGTTAAAATGAAAATTATTTTATAAAAATACTTTAATAGCCCGTCGCTGTTACATATCATACTTTTTTCTAGTAATTATAAACATTGTTGTGATAAAAAATATCTAAATATTTTAGTCTTTACGCGACTGCTTTGACATCCAAATGAATGATAGGTATGTTACTTCTTAATTACTAAGCTGTTGAATCGATTTTGTTAAATTGTACGTCGTTAGATTCGTCTTTATAGCGCAAAAGTCACTGGGTATATTAAAATTCAGAAAAAATCTAAATGGCGCAATGGATAGCTTGAACAAATACTTTTACGCTAAAACTGAATAGACTATAGAGTATCCACGAGTTTTAAGAGGCGATCACAAAACTATATAATATGTACTCTTATCATACAGGGTATCAATTGGTAAATTAAATTCAAACTGTTCAATATTTGCTAGAACAAGAAGAAGCTTAGATTATTAAATTTGACCAACAAATTCATACAGTAATTAGTAAATATTTAAAGTAACATAATTAATAGGTAACAATCTTAAAGTTAAAAAACAGGTGCTTCCTCGGCTACCACTTTTTGATTAAATATAAAAATGACTGTCAGTCCACATGGAATTCGCCGTGTAAACATGTCTACAATGTTGTACCTGCGTAAGTACATATATTATAGTGAGGATAATGCGCAGAGCTAATTAAATCAAGTAGTGATTATTTTTATAGCAATCACAGTGGGACTCCTGGCATGACCTCATTATGCGTGATAGTCGTGCAGCTACTACGATTGCGCTTTATTGATAAATCCCTTTGTATTTGTTATATTTACAGTCACATGATTAGGGCTGCTACTGATCTGAGATATCCGTTAATAATTTAAAATTATCTGATTTTGTTTTTATTCTTTAAATGAATTGTTATTAGAGATCATTTTAATTTTCGTTTACTGAAACCCACCAGCAATATAACGTGAAATAAAAAAGCTAGTACTTATGTTTGTTTTAATTTTCTCTATTGTCATATTTCGTTACTTTAAACATTACCCATCCGTATGTGAACATATTTTAGGAATAACTCCTATGTGTTAATATACCGATTGCACTGTTAAATGTTGGACATTTTATGTAATTGGTACACCACAACGAAAAACAGTCGTATAGAGCAAAGCTTTTTACAATTCTATTTATGTAACTGCTATAGTAAGTAGTATATTCTGATTGTATAAATAAAATAAAGAATGTATATTAATATTTTTGGACATCTATAAATTATAAAAAGAAAAAGTATAATTCGCAATTTTAAAATCAATGCAAGCATAAGAACAATAGTTAATCACGTAATGCTGACTCGTTCTTAGTATGTGTAGTCCTAAAATACAATCACGAGCGCAGTACCTATAGAATGATTATAATTGTTCGATTTACAATACGTTCTGTTATTTTTATCTTTTATATAGATTATTTTTTTTAAACTTGTATTGAAGTGTAATTATATAAATTGTCTTTAACGCCGTAATCTTTAAATGGCAAGTGAAAGTTAACGACGAAGTTTTTTTAAACATATTTCGGAACTTGCTTAAACTTAATTAACCGAGGGAATTGAATTTGCGATTTCAAGTGTCTAAATTAAGAAATGTTGCTTTCGTTCTTCGTAAGCCTTTTTTTACAATTACATAAGTTTATGGAACATGTTAATAAGTATGTTATAACTTGTAACTAACGTCACGCCTAGAGCACGACATTGACAAATTATTCTTAAATATTAATTTTGAATATATTTTATTAATAAATAATTAGTTTTGTATACTATAGATATGACATATTATCTGTGATCATCATTCAAGTTTACCATATTGACATATTCAAGTAGTAGCGTATGTCGTGTGCTCGCTGTGCCAAATTAAAACAGGTTTAACATCCTTATTAATTGATGTAACGTTACACCACAGCAGGCGACGCGATATACTTACTTGTAAACATCCACATAGTCGTATAGTTTCGTATAGCTTCTGTTTAAACTTCTACGGCTGCACCTAAATGCGGCACGACCATGTTTTTTTGACTGGCACTAATATTAATATGTCATATTCCTTACAAAAGCTAGCACGGGTTCACCTTCAGTTTTTATTTGAAATATTATCATGTTTATAATGACGATATAATTATAAGAAGCCAACTAATAAACTTAACAATAAATTATTTGCGTATTATAAAAAGTACTATATTAATATTATTTAAACTCGGCGTTGTTCGCAGATCAGCTCGCATAGTTTATTTATGTAAATTTAATTCCTCAGTAAATAGTCTACAAAAAGTTAAATCAACAAACAAAACTCAGCTATAAAATATTAATAATAAATATGTATGAAGTACTTAAACTATTATACACTTTTTGGTCGATAAGAACTATGCGAAATATAGGAGACCTTAACTAATTAAGCCGGAATTAAAATAATACAACAGTTAGGCATATTTTATTATTAACACAATTTGTGAGATTATAATATTTTTAGTATTATTTTATTTAATAAATAAGCAGTTCTTTTGAGACTCGTAATGCGATTATATAATAAAAACAAAAAAAAATTGAGCGAGCCTTCGAGAATATTGCTCAATAAGTTGGAACCAAATTGTCAGTAAAACGAGTTAATATATCCGCGGCTCTGCATACATGGTAAAGTCGTAAAATAACAACGCGCGAACGACGCGACGTATAATTTGCAAAACATAATGTTTATTGATTTGTTTAGGATAACCAAAGCAGTAATGGCACGTTCGTGAACAACAACCGGTCCACGTTGACGAAGGAGCCGCACGAGGTGTTTTCGGGGGATGTGGTCCAGTTCGGCATTCCCGTCGTAGAGAATGCTGGTAATTCGGAAAAAGTAAGTAAAGATCATATTTAAATATATCTGTCATTTAATAGAAACGTGTTTATATGCGTAAATAAAACCATTAAAAGGAGATTGCCATATTTATTTAAGTACATATATAGTTTCAAATTAACTTTATCAACAATAATGATTAAATGGTAATTTAAATATTTGTTTTATTATTTCAGAACACATTTCCTCCAGTAGTAGCTCTTCTCAAGTTATATCACCCAGATGGCAAAGAAGCGAAATTGTCATTTAACCCTACCATGACTACACCTCTTCATCTCAAGGAGTTGTATCAGCTAAATAACTTTGTACAGGTTTGTTTATACATTTTATATTAATTTATGTTGTTTTTTTAAATGATATTTTGTTAATTTTAATGCAATATTGAAAGTATTGTATGGACAAAAAAAACATTTGGTTTTATGTTATGCACAGCATACTTGTATATAAAATATTTCTTCATTATTTCTTTAAAGAAGTCCCTTATCCTATAGGGCTGGAAATGTTATTATGGATCTATTTTTTTAAATTTTAAAATAAATACTATTGCTGTCCGACGTCACTAGGTGACCAACAGTAAGTCTGTGTTACTCGCGATCATTTATATTAGTGTGTTAAGCTTCATCTAAATCTTCAGTTCAGCGGTTTCACACACACACATACACACGTGCTAACCTATTGAATTAATATAATATATGTTTTTTATCTTAAACAACTCCAGGAGGCGATCCAGCGCGAAGCGTCGCTCGAAAGTCGGCTGCGCACGCTGCGCGAGTGCGTGGAGCGCACGCGCGCGGAGGCGGCCGCGTCGTGGGAGCTGTTCGTGGGCGAGCAGCGGCTGCTGATGCGCGTGCACACGCTCGAGGCGATGCTGGCGGCCGGCAAGCACCCCGACGCGCACCACGTCGCCCAGCTGCTCAGCGATAAGCGCAATTATCAGGTGAGAAGATTTGGTGTTTAACATTTCATTCAGGTGAGAAGATTTAGTGTTTGGTGTGTAACCAAGATTTGGTGTTTGTTTGTCCGTCATTTTTAACAGCTCGAGCCGGTGATAACCGGTTTAGTGTACGGGCAGCGCGTACATGAATAGCTGTTTGGTTGGTTGTCATGCACACAATGTGGAAGAATATGATTTGAAAATTAGTACATTTTTACATTAAATTAAACTAAATGATAAGCTCAAAATCGACTGTAGAATTTTAATATACATGCGAACGTTTTACTCTAAGATATTTACCATTTGAAGGAAGCTAGCATTATCAGTTTGTCCTAATTTCTAGTGTTATTTCATAGCAATGAATGTTTTCTCGGACGTAATATATCTCCGAGTAAAATGATCATTGCACGCGTGCGGATGAAATTGAAGATGGAAATTAAAAGATACGGAAATATTTACATTAATGCGTTCCTGGACGCTCTTCGCATTTATAACATGTTTTACGGAAGTTCTTGAAATAGGTCCTCCTAAATAAAAAAATAAAACATCGTACCGGCAGCTTATTTTCGTAATATCTTTATAAATTGTAGGTTATAACTTACATAGATAATAAATAAAAATAGTTTCATTTGTAAAAATCGTATGAAAATTCAAACATACTGTAGTTAGCCCGAACGAACACAAATTCAACACGCCGAGGGAATAGGGGATCGGACAGTAATCAGATAAAAATCTAAAATATACTTAGATAAAATAAGTACATTGTTTAACGATTATTTATCGAATAATAGTTAAATATAATTCATTTAAATATTTTTAAATGAAGAAATAAAATTTTGTTATTTACAATATTTTAAGTCTGTACTGAAACACCAAAACACAGTGCGTGACGTCATTTGTTGAATTTTGACATTTGACAGCACGTCACAGTATATATAATATATCATCGTCACAATATAAGGTATCGCATGTAATTTTTCATATCATTCGGCAGCTGAAACAAGTAAAAATGAATAAAATCTCGTAAATATAACCTCTAACATTAAACAATGTACATTTACTACAAATTAATATTTTTCATTTGTAGTAAGTAACTACTGTACACTTACGTCAAAATGATCTTCACAAAAGTAAATTGGTGAATTTACAGACATTCCGTCGCACTTTTTTCTTGCTAAGATCAACCATTTTTTTCGTATATCTGCTTTTCTTGGCACATCAATCAATAATTTATTTGGAGTAGTTTTTGATGTGTTCGTACATTGAGGTACTACACACCAACGATATGTTTTTCGTTCCATAACAACAAATAAAGAATATTTTCCACGAAACAAAACTTCTTGCGAACTTATGTTCATACAGTCGTTTTGTTTATGTTATGAATGACCACAGAACAATAATATTGATGACATTTACAAGTTACGTCACGCGTATAACGTGTCGTTTTGGTGGTATTTTTAAACAAACAATATTAAAACATGATTTTGAGTACCTAAAAGGCTATAAATAAATTAAATTTATTTTTTTATGTGAATAAGTATCCATGAAGATTAATTTAAAACACTTTCTAAAAAATTGTCCGATCCCCTATTGAGTTTATAATATAAATTAATTTTGAATGTGGTGTCAACTGTATGTTTTGCTTCATTATAAATTTGTGAAGATGTATGTATGTTCTACTTAACCAATTTTGATGATACGGTAACGCGTAAGTTAAAAATAATATTATAATAAACTACGCGGGCAAAGCCACGGGGTAATACTAGTTTGTAATATGTAGTGACTAGAAGTGCCCGCGGCTTCACCCGCTTTTAAATTTCCAGTATGGTAGTCTGCCCGATTTGTTGACATTTATGATTACAGCTCCGCTCCCTTGGGTAGTAGCATGATGCAGATATATAGCCTTCCTCAAAAAGCATTTTCCTAATAGTATCAGTAGTTCCTGAGATTAGCGCGTTCAAACAAACAAACTCTGCCTCTTTATAATATTAGTATAGACTAGCAACTCATTATTTTAATCACTTGTACATTTAAATTTTTTTGAGCGGAACCCTATTTCTTTTACTGAAATAAAAGTTTCGGGACTTTCACGTTGAGTGAGTTAAGGAGTAACTTAGCCTAATTTACTCCTTAACTCACTCAACGTGAAAGTCCCGTCAAAATCGGCACGGCCGTTTCGGAGATTAGCCGGAGCAAACAGACAGACAGACAAAAACTTTAAAAATTGTGTTTCTTACAAATATCCTATATAATTCCATATGCATTTAGTAAAAAGCTATTATTTTGACATTATAAACAGACATTTCAATTTTATTTATCTGTATAGATGTATAGATTGTGTGTTATGTCACAATATGTGTTCGTGTTGTGGCAGGAAGTGGCACAAGAGAGCCTCCGCACGGCGCACGAGCAGCGCCTGGCGCTGGAGGAGTCGCTGGAGCGGCGCAGTCGCGAGGCGGCCGCGCTGCACCACCACAACTACGCGCTGCGCCTCGCCGCCACCAACGCGCTGCAGGAGCTGCAGGTACTTATGCTGCTTCCATGCTCGTGCTGTGTTTTACACTTGGGGTTTTATAATCAATACTAGCGGCTCAACCTCGCTTCGTTCATGTTCGCCACTAGGAAAACAAAAATCTCTCCCACGGCAACCGTACATTTTTCCGGGATTTTATTCCCGTGGGATAGATTTTTATAGAGTAGCCTTATGTGTTATTCTGATGTATGAGCTTATATTATTGTAAAGTTTTATCAAAACCCACTCAATAGTCAAAGAGTAACAAACATATTTCCATACATACATTCTTACAAACTTTCGCGTTTATAATATTAGTAAAGGATATAATAAAACAAAGTCGTGTTATTTACACCATTTATAACTCAAGAACGGCTGGACGAATTTTTATGATATTTGTTTTTTTTTTATTTCTCTTAGTCCGGAATAGGATAATAAGTATTGAAACATCGAAAAAAAAACGAAAAAAAAAATTACATTTACATGGTTAAATCTGGATGATAACTATTTATATCTATTTAAATCTCACCTTGGGACGAACCCAAGCGAAGCGAGGGTGAACCGCTAGTATAAGAATAAATCGTAATATACTAGTACATACATATAATACTTAGATTTGCGCGTATGGACATATTAAATAAATCTTTTTTTTTTATTTTTCATGGATTATTATGATTTTGAGTTTTTGACGTTTAGAAAAAAATTTAAATTAATCCGCGAAAACATCCGAAAAGGTAGTTTTATTTAAAATACTTGTATAATATTAATTAGTATTGTAGTTAAAATAGTGGGACATAACGAGTGTTATGTCTCGGGTACTATATCAATTGAAGCTCATAGTTACTGTCTTTACTTTAGTGTAGACCACCTAGTTTTCCCTGTAAACTTTACAATGAAAAGTCTTCGTAAAATAAAATTTGTCAAAAAGCAAAATAAAAATTGCCTGTTTTACTAAGATATGGTGCGAAATAAAGTATCTATTGTACTTGTACTTAAGCATGTAAGTTTTAAATTTATTTACCATTAATACATGTTAAAATATTTTATATCTTCATATTTTATAGAAATTAGCTGCGCGTTGTGATCGCAAAATGTGTGCTGCGCGCCTCGCCATCGCCGCCGCCGAGGAACGGGAAATGACGCTGCGGAAACACCTTCCACTTGCTGTAAGTGTGCTGTAGAATTAGCTAAATTATATAAAAATATTTTATTAGATACAACTAATATTTTTTTTATGAAAATAGTTTTATGAAAATTTACTCCTCCTCCTCAAGGTTGCCTGGAAGAGATCGCTTCCAGCGATAAGCTCGCCTGCTGTGCATCTTTTTTTTTGTTTTTTTTTTCTTTGTATTTTAGAGGTTTAGTGTGCAATAAAGAATATTATTATTATTATTATTAAAATAGTATGTAAACACGAGCGACTTACCCTCGCTTCACTAGGGTGCGTCTTTAGATACCTAATAATAGCCTAGGTAAGGTATTAGGGATTAGTAAGGATCATCTGTCAGTGAACACATTTTTATCGGATTAAAAATAGCCTATAATAGCACTCGACGGTAATATAGCTTCCTATTAGTGAAAGAATTTTCAGATTCGGATCAGAAGTTTCAGAGATTATCCCCTTCATATAAACTTAGAAACTTCTTTATAATATTATTGTCGATAAGTAGATTTATTTAAAAAATAGTGGTTAAAATATGGCCAATTTTTTTATACTAAGTACTTTAAATAAAACTATATTTTCAGATTATTTGGCAGATTTGTTTTGATTTTTGGTTCCTACATTATATTTAGTAATTGATTAAGTAGAGATCACGTCACTCGCCCTAGATAACTCCTTTCGATTACTTTGTAACACGTGACCTACTCATACTTGTATTTGCCCGAACTGAGTTGGGGCTGATTATTAACAAATTATTATAATAAATAAAGATTGAGTTTCCATAAAATATTGATGAACGCCAACTTATCCTGACCACCGGAAAAAAAGGCAAAGCATGAGTTACGTTACCGCGACTGTGGGTTGTAATAAAACAACGTTTCTTGCCGAAAGGGTAGTTACAACTAAGTTTATTTTCTTATTTTCTACGGTTTCATATGATACATGAGTGTGGAACCCTTCAGCGCTTAAACTATTTACGCTTAATTTATTGTGACAACTTAATTATCTTTTGAGAAGGATCTCTAAAGAGACGATACATTTTATAGTAAAAGATTCTTCCGAGAAGGATATCTAAATAGACCACATGTTGGGTTACGTAACTCATGCAAATAATTTTCTAGAATTTTGTTTTATATTTACTAATTTATATTTATATAAGTCTTTTGTACGTAAATTGAACTTTTTTATTTAATTTAATATATTCCAGTACACAGTCCAAAATGGTGAAGCGAAAATGTTGATAGTGAGCACCGATAGTAACAAGCTGCAGGAGGCCAAGCGCAGTGGGTCGCTCGAGGACGCGGTGCGCGCGCTGCCCGACTACATCAAACTGCTGCTTCCCCAGAATTTGCTGAACAAGGTACTGACTCGTTATTGTCCTATGGAATTATTCTAAATTAGCAACTTAACCTTGATACACTTGGATGCGTCGCTGGGTACGTTTTAAGTAGCCCCCTTTTTGCCCCTTTTTGGAGGAAGTAGCTCTCCAATTAAAAATCACCGACGACAAAAAAAATCTATAAAGTCGTAAAACCGGTTGTAAAATACGACCTGTACACACACCTGTGATAGAAGTACCAATAAACTGACAGAGGAAAGCAACATTTTGCCAGACTTGAAGCAGAGATGCTTTGCTCGCTCGGTCAATAACCCTGCTACTAGTTTTTGTATAATAAATTATTGGAATTGTTGTATGAAGGACAGCTCAGCCGACTTTCAGTTGCGACTTTGGACTTACTTTGGACTTTGGAGTTTTTTGAGAGATTTCCCTGTAGTCAAAATGTTGGCCTGAGTAATAAATTATCTTTATACAAAAATTAGTTAAAGTCCATTCAGTACTTGTTACGTAAACGTAAGCACAGATAAATAGTACATAAGATTAAAATATATAAAACTAAGAAATAGAATAAGCAAATCAAAAATGTAAATCCATAAGAAATAAAAATGTAAGTAAATTAAAACAAGTAACAACCCATGTTAGAAACTTTAGACACAACAAAAACTGTAATAAAATAAGGCCCATGTTAAACGTAATTTAGAAATAGAAAATTTAATTGTAAAAAATCCACCCATACCCTTAAGGTAAAATATTGATGTAAATAAAAACATTGTAAAAAAGGTCTCTGATCTACATGTCAGAGGAACTCGGCTCAAAATAAAAAAAAAAAAAAAAACGTAAGCACAGAAATGTACAGACAAATACTAAAATTTCAACAATTATTGTTTTGGGATCTATATTTTGTACACAAAATACAACAGTAATTGTTTTTTAAAGTAGTTTTCTCTGTTTATTTAAAACGGCTAATTTTGTTTTACAGGTGGGCATCAAAGCAATATCTGCCGAAGGAAAGTCAGCGAAGGAGTTCGAATTAATATTGATGAAAAATAATGTGTACAATTCTGAAGAAAGAGGTAATAAGCTCTTTTGCTAGATAATTTAAATCATACATTTTTTTATAATGATGATTTATTTAGATTAAATTTCTATTCAAATATTTATATTACAAAGTTTCGATCGCAAGTGCATATTAAGTCAAATGTGATAGATTAAAACACGATTATATTTATTTATTTTTAAAGGCTTGCTAACTAAATTTACATACTGACATGAATTTAACAATTACTTCTCCTATTATTTATATTAATTTAAATTAAAAGTATGTACAGCTATATTAGACACTTTAATCATAAGCTTTAATTTTGTGAAAAACAATCACTAGTTATTTAAATTAAAAAAAAATGAACATGTAATAATAATAAAGAAATTGAAATCAAACATGAAACTATTTCACAGAAAAACAAGAAGCAGAAGACGGTGATGTAGGCAGCAGCGGAGAGAAGAGCAGTGAAGCTGACCTCTGCACTGACGATGAAAAGCATTTGCGGCTTAACCATGACAACTCTTTACTTACATTGAAGAAAGATAACGGTCCCAATGAAGGTGTGATTGGTAAATAAATTTTATTATTTTACTATTGTTCGCGACGCTTACTGACGACTGCCGGCGACTGCCGACAAGTCACATCTGCCTGCGCATCGATATGGTTCGATTATAGTATTTGTTCGCGATGCGTACCGACGGGTGTCGACAACTGCCGAGCGGTCACATCTATGTGCGCGTCGATATAGTTCGCTTATAGTGTTTGTGCGCGGCGCTAACCGACGAATGTCGACGACTGCCGAACCGGTCGCATCTACGTGCACGTCGTTATGTTTCGATTACGATATTCGATTGTTTGGTATGTTCGCTTTCGTATAGTTTTATAATTATTATTTTATAATTAATAATTCAATATTTCGTTCGTTTAAATACTTACATTTGTGTTGAAGTATATATAGTAATAGTTTTGCAATAAGGAGTATCCTTATAGAATTTGTAATTACAATATGTTTTTGTAATTTTCGTATTTAATAATAGTTTAGTAAATTTTCATATTGTTATTCATTTAAAGTGTTATAGTTTATAGAAACATAGGTACATACCATAGTATACATACTAAAGTATGTAATTGTCAGGTTAGCTTTACGCTACACTTTGTTACATCATATAGTTTCGAATAGTATGAAATATCTACTAATTCTATAGACGTCTTATAGTTTACGGATTTCTTATCCTAATATAAGTTTCGATATTTCATAGTAACAAATTGGATGTTAAATATTTTTACTGTTTTGTATAATATTGTCGATATAACTAATTTATATTGTTTTTCGTTATAGTTTAAAATAGATAAATAAGGTGTGAAATTAATATAACTTAGTTTTAGTAAATATACAGTAAAAGTTATTATGTTCATAGGCTGACCTTTTGTATTGTAAGCATATTTTGCTATATTTCGTAAAGTTATTCTGTAATATAAGTATTGTAATTAACATAGTTAAATAGATAATTTCTCAAGCTTTATTTTGATATATAATACATAGTTATAGGTAAAATAGTATTAGAGATAATCAAAAAATAATGTAAATAGTATAGTGAAAATTATTGTTAAATAAAGTCAAAACGGCTCGGTGGCTTGCGGCTCTCTGTATGGTATTGCTCGGGGGTAGTTAAGCTCACTAGGCATTTGCATAAGGAGTTCGCAGTTCGACAGTTCGGAAGTTCGAATTCGGGATTCATCGGAACAAACTCGTAGAAGCAAATAAATAGGAAAATAGTAATAGAAAAGTTGCAAGCCACCTACCGCTTCGTATAGGACAACGATTGCTATTTTATTTCGACGGCGCCGGCACCCCAAGATCCGAACCTATAGTGTACAGGGCGTCAGCGGCTCGCTGGGCAATTTCGATTCGGGCTAACGTCGCCGATATAGTTATACATTGCCCTCGAGCTCCGCCCGTCCGGTACAACGCGCTGGTCCTTCGAGCCGGATCTGGGGCGCAGTAATCGTCATCACCATAGTCATCGCTGTCAACATCGTGACTCACCTTCGCCCTCATCGTTATCGTCGCGGTCGCCATATAGTTCATCGTGATGCCGGTCACACGTTCAAGAGGCCAAGCAGAGAAGTGGATGGCTGAAGCGGGGAATGGCTTATCGTCTCGTCCATCACAAGCCATTAACCTAATAGAATCGTCGCACCTATCATCTCACATAGAAGTTGTCCGGTCCCCCCGCACCCCAGGGGAGCCCCACACCTCTACATCGTCTGCACCGTTTGGGGATTCAACGTTGCCGAGCGGCGGGAGGGGAAATAGTCGTGAAGTTTCTCCTTTACGCCATACAGATTCGAAGCTGGCAACAATCAATATAGAAAACAAATCCGATGGTCCACCAGAAGAACCTATAGTATCGAAACCTTCGGGGTCACAGAAGACTTCAAGGTCAAGACGTAAAGCTAGAGAAGCTCGTCGAGAAATTCTTCGCATCAAACTTGAAGCTCGTCGAGAAATTCTTCGCATCAAACTTGAACTTGCGCAACTCGCCTTAGAAGATGCCGAATCAGACAGTTCAGAATATGAAGATGATGATCAATCGAAAGAAAGCTACGTTCGTTCATGGATAGAAAATAGTGAAGACGCGATGCCAAACCCAGCACCGCCAGAGAACGAAATAATTTTCGAAGAAGATAATCCTCGAAAACCGCATCCAAAACCATCGTCCTGCGTGAAGCCAGAGTCCCTTGCCATAGCTAAAAGACAGGGCACTGAATCAGTTACTACCTTAACGAAACCACATCCAGATTTCGTCAAGCACTACGAAGATTTAACATCGAATACGAAACTGAGACATCCGTTAAGCGAGATAGATGAAATGAAGAAAGAGATAGAACTTCTAAAGAAAAATAGAGCATCGTCCGTTGGATGTGAGCCTTTTCATCCGATGTCTTCTGGGTTCACCGCAGCACCTGCTGAATATAGAAAGCCTTTGCTTACTACATCGCCTTCATCCGCCGTCGCATCAAAGGTCATCATGGATCTGCCAACATATAGTGGAGCTCTGAATGAGTGGCTATCGTATCGTGCCATCTATCAAAATACTAAAGAGTATTTCAACGATGTGGAAAACACGGCCCGAATTCGAAGAAGCCTCACCGGAAAAGCACTCGAAGTTGTCGACACACAACTCATCGCACATTCGAAGCCAGATGCCATCATAGAAGAACTCGAAATGAATTTCGGTCGCCCAGACACCATTGCTTACCATGAGTACGACAAGCTCCGATCCTTACCTCGTTGTGCCGATACACCGAAGGAAATCCACGCATTCGCTAGCAAAGTTAGAAGTGGTCTCAACTTATTTCGTGCGCTGAAGCTTTACAACTTCATCACTGCTCCAGATCTTATGCGAGCTCTTCGTGAGAAACTTCCATCGTCATTGTGTACCAGATGGTATGAAGAACAAGCTAGCATCGCGAGACCAGACCTAACACACTTCAGTGAGTTTCTAACAAAACAAGCAGCATGTCGCACTCCATACGCGCCAACAGAAACTCTCGACACCGTACCCAATCGTCGTATGGTATATAGAACCCATACAACAATAGAAGAAAGGAGACAAGATAGAATACCAAATAAAAATCATGAAAGAAGATTCGAAGAGAAAACAAATAACGCTAGATGCAGAGTTTGTTCTAGAGATGGTCATCATAATAGTAAATGTCCAAAATTTCAAGCTGCCAAGATAAATGAAAGATGGGAACTCGCAAAACAGCACAATCTGTGTTTCCGATGCCTTCAATCCAGACGACCAGGACACACTTGTAGACCGAAGAAATGTGGAACTGGAGGATGTAACGCTACACATCATCGACTGCTACACTACGTTAAAAAGGAAGTAGCCCAGAACTTAGAAGATAGAGAAGAAAAGGAAACTGTAGCTAACGCCTGGTTACCATCAAAAACTCAGGCGTACTTGAAGATACTTCCAGTTCGAGTCAAGGGACCGGCGGGAGAGATCTCTGCATACGCTCTCTTAGATGATGGATCAACAGTGTCTTTGATTGATGAGACCTTAGCCCAAGAAGTCGGGGCCGAAGGACGTCTGGATCCATTCAAGATAGAATCAATAGGGAATGTAGTTGATACTCCTAAGTCAAGGCGCGTTTCTTTGACACTTACTAGCTCTTGTGGTGAGCAAGTACAACTCAGAGCGCGTACTATACCTAAACTACGTTTTTCTCCACAAACCGTCGGCGAAGAAGACCTAGCTGGCTGTAAGCATCTTCTTGACTTGAAAGAGCAGCTCGTACATAAATCTGCCACTCCGAAAATACTCATCGGTCAGGACAACTGGAACCTTCTTCTTGCTGAAGATATTCGCAGAGGCCCAAACAGTCAACCAGTTGCTTCACTTACTCCGCTCGGATGGGTGCTCCATGGCGCACATAATAGAACCACGGGTCAGCAGGTGCAGTACGTCAACCACTTGGCTAATAGCGAAGAGAAAAAGTACCGAATCGTGCCCGACCTCCATAACCGGCGGGAGCCTCATGGCCGAGATCCTCTCTACAAAGTGGGTGATCTAGTTCTCATAGTTGATTCCCAGCTGCCACGAAATACCTGGCCAAGAGGACGCATCAAGGCAGTATATCCAGATGCCGATGAACAACTTCGCATAGTAGAGGTACGCACGAAAGAAGGCCCTGAAGAGGGTAACCAAGAAACTCGTCCCTCTACCAAATTAAGAAAAGGTCGTCGCTCACCGCGGAAGAGATGCAGCACCACGCTGGGCATGTTGCTGCACGGCGGGAGAAATGTTCGCGACGCTTACTGACGACTGCCGGCGACTGCCGACAAGTCACATCTGCCTGCGCATCGATATGGTTCGATTATAGTATTTGTTCGCGATGCGTACCGACGGGTGTCGACAACTGCCGAGCGGTCACATCTATGTGCGCGTCTATATAGTTCGCTTATAGTGTTTGTGCGCGGCGCTAACCGACGAATGTCGACGACTGCCGAACCGGTCGCATCTACGTGCACGTCGTTATGTTTCGATTATGATATTCGATTGTTTGGTATGTTCGCTTTCGTATAGTTTTATAATTATTATTTTATAATTAATAATTCAATATTTCGTTCGTTTAAATACTTACATTTGTGTTGAAGTATATATAGTAATAGTTTTGCAATAAGGAGTATCCTTATAGAATTTGTAATTACAATATGTTTTTGTAATTTTCGTATTTAATAATAGTTTAGTTAATTTTCATATTGTAATTCATTTAAAGTGTTATAGTTTATAGAAACATAGGTACATACTATAGTATACATACTAAAGTATGTAATTGTCAGGTTAGCTTTACGCTACGCTTTGTTACATCATATAGTTTCGAATAGTATGAAATATTTACTAATTCTATAGACATTTTGTAGTTTACGGATTTCTTATCCTAATATAAGTTTCGATATTTTATAGTAACAAATTGAATGTTAAATATTTTCACTGTTTTGTATAATATTGTCGATATAACTAATTTATATTGTTTTTCGTTATAGTTTAAAATAGATAAATAAGTTGTGAAATTAATATAACTTAGTTTTAGTAAATAATACAGTAAAAGTTATTGTGTTCATAGGCTGACCTTTTGTATTGTAAGCATATTTTGCTATATTTCGTAAAGTTATTCTGTAATATAAGTATTGTAATTAACATAGTTAAATAGATAATTTCTCAAGCTTTATTTTGATATATAATACATAGTTATAGGTAAAATAGTATTAGAGATAATCAAAGAATAATGTAAATAGTATAGTGAAAATTATTGTTAAATAAAGTCAAAACGGCTCGGTGGCTTGCGGCTCTCTGTATGGTATTGCTCGGGGGTAGTTAAGCTCACTAGGCATTTGCATATTGAGTTCGCAGTTCGACAGTTCGAAGTTCGAATTCGGGATTCATCGGAACAAACTTGTAGAAGCAAATAATAGGAAAATAGTAATAGAAGAGTTGCAAGCCACCTACCGCTTCGTATAGGACAACGATTGCTATTTTATTTCGACGGCGCCGGCACCCCAAGATCCGAACCTATAGTGTACAGGGCGTCAGCGGCTCGCTGGGCAATTTCGATTCGGACTAACGTCGCCGATATAGTTATACATTGCCCTCGAGCTCCGCCCGTCCGGTACAACTATGAATATTAATTTATAATGTCATTAATAAATTGTGTAGTCCTTAATTACAATTTAAACTTACTATAAAATGTCCATTAATTATATATAACTAGCGACTCACCCTCGTTTTGCTTGAGTTCGTCACTAGCTTGCTTCCCAATATAAACTTTCATCCCCATTTTCACCCCCTTAAGGGATGATTTCTGGGATAAAATGTATCCTATTTCCTTTTCAGGGTCTCAAACTATGTTTTTACCAAATTCCAACTAAATTGGTTCAGTAGATCCAGAGATTACCCCCTACAACATCACACTCTCACAAACTATCTCTTTATAATATTACTATAGATAATAATTATTAAGTATTTTTATTAAAGTAGAAATATTATGGAGTACTTTAAACCAAATAGGCAAAAATGATAGAATTCCTTATAATTTAAGGTGTGAAAGTGAAACTCCAAAATTGCATAAACTATTTATGTACACAAGCACCTAAAAATGTTTCTTTATGTATGCTCATTATGCAGCTACGTGTACTTCAGACTTAGCCACTATTCATATTTGTTATAGATTTTGTATATATGGAACATAATCAAATGAAACATGTCAGCTAACATATTCCAGCTAATTCGTGACTTCTTATAGGTTGTAATGAATGTTATTATCATCGCCAAAATCCGTCCATAGTAAGAAAATTTTGTAAAATAAAGAATTCTGCCAATTTATTTTAAAAGAAAATATTTTAGTGGTACAATTTTATTTAAAAATATCCTATACCTTTACAGTAAAAAAATATTATTTTAATATGTAAGATGTGATTTCATTAAGAATTGTATTTGCTAACTTTCAGACGGAGGTCATGAAGTTGAATCTTTAAGTCCTCTAGATGGAGAGCTGCGTCCCGACAACAACGCTAACTCTACATACAGTGAACCGGACATGAAAGAGGACTCGCCCGTTCGTATATTTATTTTAATAAAATGTATTATTTCAAAATATCCCAAGTAAAAAACCCAGGTTTTTTTAAAATGCAAGACAACACAAATATATGAAAGGAAACATAACTTCACCTCAAATTGATATATAATTTACTTTTGTTAGGTAGTTTTCTTAGTTTTAGATAATTAACAACATTTCTGGTGCATATTGTGTTCAATAATTTAATCACTGTTTGTAAAACTCATATATTTGTATTTTTATATGTACTTCATTTGAGTTGCTTATTTAATATAATAAACGCGAAAGTTTGTGAGGATGTTTGTTACTCTACCACGCAAAACTTACTAAATGGATTTTGATGTAACTTTACCTTGACTCTATTCTTTAGACTCTTAGAGTAACACACAGGCTGTAATTTATAAAGATTTAGTAATACATAATTGAACTGGAGCCGTGGCAAAATGCTGGTTAAATAAATTGATTAAAAAAAAAATCATATATAATATCCTCAAATGGAGAATGTGCTGATGCCCTCTGGTACTTAGAGTAGGCTTGTGCCCAGCCAGAAGCGGGACATTGTAAAAGGTTGATTATAAAACTCAAATATTATTAGAATCAATCAGTGCACTCTATTCTTTTCACTCTCATACTTCGGTGTGGCGACAATTCGATACGGCTATTTAGAGATCAGAGACGTGATCTCCGAAGCACGGAGGTGAAACACAGCCAACTTCCCAATCTCGGGCTGTTATAATAAGACTTTCTCAACAGAAAGACTAAAAGAGGAACTAAACTTGGCTTGTGGAGCTCCGGATCTGCAACCGTACATACCAGTCACTAGACCACCGAAGCAATCCATACCTACTAGTACTAGTAATATTATAAATGTGTAAGTGTGTTTGTTTGTTTGTTTGTTTGTTTGTTCTCCTTTCCGAGTGACGGGTTGGCGTGATTTTTTGTGTGGTGATTGTTGGAGGGCTGGAGTGTGGACATAGGCTACTTTTTACCGAGATTATATCATTCCCACGGGAAAACACGTTATAATACAACCCAAAAAATATTGATGATCAAAATTAATTGAAACTTGGTATTAATGCTCTTCAATATAATTAAATAAATACGTGTTTCACATTTTTCGAAATTCATCCCATAAGGAGGTAAATTAGGTGTCGTTCTGCTAGTTAAGTAATAAATAGTAAATGAATATTAAATAAACACTTCAGAGCAAAGGGAACATCGAATACGCGAACATCCTCCGCGTGATGGCGGGGCTCAACGAGGAGATCAGGGCGCTGCGCGAGCGCGTGTCGGCCGCCGCGGCGGAGAACGAGCAGCTGCGCGGCGTGCGCGACGAGCTGCTCGCCGCGCAGGAGGAGTGCAAGCAGCCGCCCGACGCGGACGATGCGGCCGCCTATCGTGCTAGGATTGCAGATTTGCAGGTATGGCTTGTTTTTTTTTTAATAATAATCATGCCTTACTTATAGTCTGTTTTTTATTCTCAGAGACTAAATGTAAATGTCAAACTTACAAATAATGTTGCCACCTCTTCTGTGCAGTGTTGTACCTACGATACCGGTTTGTTGAATCGTAACTTTTATCTGTATTAGACGATTCGCTTCAAAGTTTTATTGTATTCCAAAGCGTATATTAAATATCATATTTATTAATTTTAAATCATTAAGTAACCTTACTCACATTATTAAATTTAAAGATACATTATTAATTTTATATTATTACGTTTTAAAAAAATACCTATACATAATTTCACGATAACTTATTATAAAAAACGATACTCGATTTTATTAACACTAATTTTCGTTAGTGGCAGATCACTATTTAAGAATTGCAAAAAACCTGGAAACCCACGTAACCTGGAAACCCACGTAATGGCCGTTTTGTCTCTGAGATTAAAAAACAAACTATCGAGTCTAGGCTAGAGTTTAATTTATAATTTGTATTATGGAACACACAGAATTGATTTATTATTCTGATTTATTTATGCAAATTGATAGTATTTGGTAGGTGGGTTCTGAGGTTAGTCCAACTGCTATTTATAATATGGATTGTATATCCATTATATTTATATTTAATATAGATAGATAACTAATAATAAATAAAGTTAGGATACTAATAGATATTGAAATTTCTTTTTCTTCTATTATAGTCTAATTTTTATTTTTATTTGTGCAGAGAGTTACATTGTTTTAATTATTGAGTTATTAGCATTAATCGGTTCTGTTTATTCTCTATTTGACCTATTATACCTTTAAATAAATAAATAATATCTATTTAATTTCAAGGAGCAACTGTCTCGGTCGACCGTAGCCGAGGAGGCAAACATCGCGGAGATACAGCGGCTGGCGTCCAATGCGGCAGAGATGCAAGCCGAGCTTGCCTTCCGTCCCACGCGCGCCGACATCGACGACCTTACCGCTGTCGTGGGCAAGCTGCGTGCTGACCTGCTCGCTAGAGATCGACTCATCGAAAGGCTGCAGGCCACAGTCAATACCACCACCAACACCACCACCTCTATCACTACTAAAATCGACCGCGCAATCGCAACGACACCTTCTCTAGAAGACCTCCGCGAAGACAAGATCGACGCAAGGCAAATATCAGCGGAAATCGACGAGATGTTCCAGCTGGACTACGACGAGGATGAGGAAACCGATTCCGCCGTCACCGAGATCAACAAGGACGACACGCAGCCAACCGAGTGCAGTGTCGTCAGCGAGTACGTGCGCCTCGACGACGACGAGCGCCTGCAGGTGACGCAGAACGGCACCCTGCACGTGCTCGTGGAGGAGGAGGAGCTGGTACGCGCCAAGGAGCGCCTGGTGGAGGTGAGCGCCGAGCGCGACCGCCTCGCCGCGCAGCTTGCCGCCACCAAGCACCTGCCCCTCCAACTGTCCTACGTAGCTACCTTCGCAGTGCCATTCCTCCTCGCCTGGCTTTTCTATCTACTCCTCCCCTACATCTCCTGATTGACGGCCACCTACGACCCACCCGGATACGCGTAGCCTACACCCTCGCCTCACGTCAGGGTCCCACCAAAATTTTGCTCACTATTCTATCTTTTTTAACGAAATTATAATCGGGTCTCGAAGGCCGTCTCCACCCGCCTCCCATGCGCAAAGGATCGACGTATTTATGGATTAGAATAATTTTAGAGTATATATAAAGATTATGATAGATATTTGATAAGCGTCGACTTCCGTCGCCCGGGAGGCGCGAGGGAGTCGGAGCGTCGCAAGTGCCATTTTGAAAGTGAGGCGATGAGGCGTGCACGTTGTTAACGCATGTAAGATACTAGTGTTGTTTGTGTAAAAAGTGTCAGTATCCTATTGATAAATATAAATTTGTTGTTGATATCTGCCATAATAAAAATTGTACATTTTTAATAATATTAAGGCCTAACGACTGTCTTGTGTTGTAATCGTGCGAGCTAAATTAGGACGACCGTGCGAACGAAGGAGATGGAATAGATTTCTCTTTTTGAATATTTTTGATCGAAACTTGATAACGATCACAAAATAAATTATTGAACATGGGGATTCCAAAAATAAAATAAGGGTAGTTAAGCCAATTTTGCGGCTGTTAGATTCTACTAAGTGAGGAACAAATCGTTTTAAAATGAATCGTGAGTGTACAAAATTGTCGCCGATCGCTAGACCGCAGCTGAGCATCGCATCACTTCGCTTTCGACACATATCACTTGTATAGGTTTACAGTGAGGGTGTGCATTTATTAAAATGATTTGGCGGATAAATTTGTAATATTTTTTGCAGTTTTTCTAGTCTCTTTAGAAAAGTTTAGGTTTCGTGACATGACAATGGCCAAGTTGAATAGCAGTCATTCAGCAGACGCTAATTTCAACAAACACTGACCTGTAATGATGAAATTAGGAGAAACTCTTCTCGATTAGTATATTTGAGTTTAACTATAATTGAAATGAGTTTTAGGTGGAGTCTTCAAGGTTATGGATAGGTTTTAAGGCGGAGCCTACAACTATATGCACTGATACACATTTAAGGGTTTGGTAGATTTTGATACTGTTGCGTACTAAAATGAGCGCTTGTTTTGAAACAGCAATAATCACAGCTTAGCGTTTTGTCGAATTTGCACCCTCTGTATATTGCAAATTCATTAATTTCGTTTAAACTGTACCTTTTAAGCTCGTATTTGAAAATTAAAATATTAATAAGGCTCTCACATATTTCTTAATTATTATACTTTCAAAAAAATATATATTATATCAATTGATAATTTTAATTTTTAACTACGAGTAAAAGAAGAATTAGAAAATGTTTATAATTAATATTTTCAAATGCGAATGTTGAACGTTAGTTACGAAATATTCCTCAATATTTTATTTTTTGGTTTGTGAGTTGTAGAGAGATAGTTTCGACGCTTCGAAATCGCTTCCATCCCTGATGTGAAGGCCAATAGATAGTTTTGTAAAACGTGTATAACTAACAAATTAATTATATCCTTAGAGTAACCGTAACTATACCACGTTGAATCACTATCTTTAAAGAAATATTTATTATTTTATTGTTGCACTTATTTTTGTTACGTTCAATGTTTTATTTTGTGTTTAGACAACCTCATTGTAAATAGATCGTATCTTATTTCCTATGTGTATTTTTTGATGTCGAAGACTTTTATGTTGTATTTTATGGAGTAAATAATAAAGCATTCAATGTGGATGTACTGATAAATTTATTGGAAATAATATTGATTTGTTTAAAATAATGTCTTTTTTTCTTTATCCTTCAATTTCACTACTGATATGAGATCTTCAATTGTATGAAGATCATGATTATTTATGGGTACAAAATTAATCATTTTACTTCAGTGACACAGATATAACATGCCTGTTATGTACGGGTGTTATGTGATGGAGTCCACAGCTGGGTTTCACTTTAATGAAATTTAACCAAAAGATCTTGATACGCGCCGCTAGTCTAGTCGACATCGAGCGCCTTCGTAAAGACTTATATTGTGGTGCTCGTCTACGCAGGTGCCAGGCAGGTAGTAAAAGTATGACGACGAATAAACTTTGACGTTTGGCGCGGGACGTATGATTTTCTCTTGGGTACATTTATTATTGACGTGTTTCATTGTTTTACAATCTATTGGAATAGAACTCGCCAATAAAACTTCGCCATTGTAGCCAGTGTCAATGAGAAAGTAAACGTGTGATTTCAAATCAGAAATAAAATCACTCGAACGAACTTGAATAGTTTTTTAAGTTTTAGTTGTACTTTGCAAACTTGAATTTGTAGGGAACTAAACATGTAGAAAATGCAATATAGATGCGCACTTGAACTAGATGAAAAACATTATAATATTAAAATACAAAGTTTAAAAATAAAGAACTGGTCAATTGTGAGTTAGGCTCCAGTCGACTATTTTTATTCTACATAGAAATCGTATATATTATTCCAGGAGTATTGCAGAAGTAGGTTAGGTGGGCCAAATAAAATTCGATGTTTCGACACACAGTTTTTATTATTTTGTACAGAGTCAGAGTAACGCTTCAAACCTCATTATAAAAAGGAAACGTATTTCATTAAATTATAAAACAAAAAAACGGTTTCCCGCTCCTTTTCCACTCAAGATAACAACTTAAGTACATATAACAAAGTATTTTATATCAGAAAGAGAACGTAGAGAATCAAATTCATTATTTTAATTATCTAGTTATTCTCAACTATGCAACGGCACTTTCGTGTGCCGCCAAATATTAGAAATGATATGGCTCAAAAAGCCAATTCGGAAAAGTTCTAATTTGTACATTCAATTTTTTGGAATAATTAAAACTACGTATTTTAAAAACACATGGCGACATCTATTGACAAATATCTAAATAATACAAAAATAAATATTCATTAAAATAACTTTTTTAATGAAGAAAATAGCGCTATTGATATACTTTTTCAAATTATCTATTTTTAATAGTTTTTGTCATATTTAGTAAGTTACTTTGCTAAAATGTATGTTATATCATCGTGGTTTTATTCTAACCAGTTTTTGTATTTTTTCTCAAAAATGAGATATTTTTCCGCGTTAAAAAGTATCCTACATGTTGCCCCGGATAATCAGCTATGACCATACAAAATTTCATCAAAATCCGTCCAGTAGTTTTTCTGTGATGCGGTAACAGACAGACAAAAAGTCTAAAAAACTATAGATTCGGCCTCTGTGTCGATAATAATGTCAATTTCAATAAGATTTTCCAAAAAATATTTAATGTACAGATTTGACTTAGTTACAATTTTATTATATGTATAGACAGATAAATCCTATTTTTATATAATTAATAATTTATGAATAATTTGTATTATTATTAAAGTGTAACAATATGTTTATTGGAAGTCAAAACTACAAATATTTCGTAAACAAAATTCTTCATCCGATCATACCGATTTAACCTCGCTTCGCTTAGGTGTCTAGCAGTTGGCCTATGTATTACTGCAGGTCATAAGTCTATGAACGTAATTTCATACAAAATCGTCCAGTTGTCATCATGCGTATAATGACGATATGATGATGAATGATATATACAAGCTTTCGCACTTATAAGAGTATTCCGGTAAAGTCCTTTTTATTCGTTTAAATTACCAATTACATAGTTTTAATTAATTACAATGTGTGGTGGTTCTCTCGGTGCATGAAACTAATTCACACTTGGGCAATTTTCATACTTAGTTGTAATATTACCTTATATTTTTAATTAAAATCATATAACAGCCTGGATGGTCATAATATTTTTTAAATGTATTCAAATTATTTTATACTTTTTCTGTACACACATAATGTACATACATTGTACCATATTTTTCTCATTTCATATTTTAAATCTAATCTATACATACATATAATTTAGGTAGTAAAACTCTAACTGAATCGAATCTGTACATTAAATATTTTTTGTAAAATCTTATTGAAATAGTCATTATTATCGATACAGAGACCGAATCTGCAATTTTTAGAATTTTTTTCTGTCTGTCTGTCTGTCTGTTTGTCCGTACATCCGTCCGTCCGTCCGTCTGGAAACGCATCACGAGAAAACCACTGCACAGATTTTGATGAAATTTGGTATGATACTGCGGGAAAATATCTCATCTCTGAGATATCTATACTAACAGTTCAAACGTTCCTAGGGACCAACCTGAGCAGAGCGAGGGTGAGTCGCTAGTATCAAATACGTTATAACATCAAATAATCATATTGTAGATTTTTCATGATTCGATAACAAGCAGATATAGTCTTGACATTGTTATGATTTAATAGGTAAATAATCACAATATTATTATAACTGCCTCGGTGGTGTAGTGGCTAGCATGTACGGCTGCACACCCTGAGGTCCTGGGTTCGAGTCCCGGGTCGGGCCAAGTTTAGTTATTGAGTCTTTCTGTATAGTAAGCCTCAGTGACAGCCCGGAGTTGGGAAGTTGGCGGTGTTTCACCCCCGTGCCTCGGAGAGTACGTAAAGCCGTCGGTCCTGCGCCTTAACTCTCACTGGTCGTGTCGAGCAGTCGTCCCACCGGAGTATGAGAGTGACAGGAATAGAGAGTGCACCTGTGTCTGCGCGTACACTTGTGCACTATAATATCTCCTGCGCAGTTGGCTAGTCTCAATGAGATTGGCCGCCGTGGCCGGAATCGGTCAGAAGAACATCATCAATCACAATATTCACTGATTTAGGTAATGTTAGAAGCATTACTTTTTAAGAATACAGAATATATTGACCAGCGAGTACATAATGACTTGGCTCTATTTCAGGACCGCCCTTAATAGGTGTTTTTTCGCCATTTGTATACTTTATCACTTTATTTTAAATCGTTTTGGCAGGGGGCGCCGAAAAAGCAACTCTACTAATTTTTTCTACTTCAATTAAAGCTTTATTTAGATTTATTATGATTTCCGACAGAAACACAATTTAATAGGTATGCGCTCGATGGCAACGTAGTCTA